AAGACAAATGAAATTGATATATAAAAAAAATAAAAAATAAAAAAAACTGTAAAAAAGAGATTTATTTATTTTTCACATTTAGAGCTAAAGGATTGCCTTTAAAACTTTTCTAAAAAATGATAACAATTAATCAGCAATATGTAACACCAGTCCAAAAAGACAAAACAGAGCAGAATATATTAAGTCAATAGATAGGTAGAAGATACTCTATATAGTTTAAATTCACGGAAAGGCCACTATAGCCTAAAGCAAGAGAAACAAAATTTAAATGCTTCAATACCAAAGCAGTCCATCCATCCATCATGTCATGATGGAAAATGAATCAAGTACTTGTCATTAATTTGTGTTTATATTGATAAGAATCTTTCGCTAGAAGTTATTGAAACTATTATAAAGAGAAATTCAAGAGGATAATCATAACGGCAATAATAAAGTAAGTTTTTACGATATGTCTAATATATTAAAGCTCTCCCTCATTTTGCCAATCAACACTAGTCAAAATCAATCAACCAATTATGGAATCAAGTATAAAATATAAATGGTAAAGTTCAAAGATCAATCTTTCCCATTACTTATATGCAGTACAATTTCAACCTTCTCTTTTAGAAGCATTCGTTATCTAGTTTTTTTTTTACATATATTCATTAATATATTCTTATATATATATATATATAACAGCTGTAGGCATAGTTCCACTATTAAAATCAAAGGATTCAAACACAACAAAAACAATACTTTGTATACAATTTCGTCCTAGCACTGAGAAAAAATGCGTAGAATTTCCTGCTGGTATTTTATTTTCTTTTATATTTATTTATTTTATTAATTAATCAATTAGAATTAGCTAATTAGCTATTTACCCGCTAACCGCTCGCTCGTTCGCTTCTTCTGTTCAGGATTAGTTGAGAAAGATGAAGCGCCAGAACAAGCAGCCTTGCGTGAATTATATGAAGAAACAGGATACAAGGGCAAAGCGATAACTAATGTTTCAACTAGTATGTTTAATGATGCAGGAATAACTAATACTAATATGAAATTGGTTTTCATTGAGGTAATATGTAACTTGTAATCATTTAAAAATTAAAATTAAAAT